TTGCATCATATAAAAACAATTGCAACCACCTTTACAACCATTTTGTTTCCTTTTTTGGATTGCGACATGGAACACTAGTTTTGTTCACCTAGCTAGGTATGTAAATTATTTATTTTAAAAATAAATACAATAAATGAATAGATATTAAAATTTTTCTTTTACATTTATTCCTACATAAATTATAACGATTAGAATAATTAGATAATATGAACAAGCAGAGAAATGTAAAAAGACATTTAATATATTATCAAAATGCGTCAACGAATTGTGATTTAAAATCAATATTAAATAACATTGCTACATATTAACTATAAATAATTCTGGAATATGATGTGCAATAGAATTCAGGCTTTCTTTTGAATCCAAGATCACTCAAGTCGATCAAGTACTTAGTGAGATACAAAAATATATGGTAATAGGTAAATATAAAGAACTATTGCATTTTTTCTTTAATTTTGAAAAATCCATTAATATTAAATACTTATATGGATGGCATTTTCATTTTTACATCAAATAAGCATCAAACCCACCTATTATACAACTATTGAATGCTTGATAAAACATTAATCAATTTTATTTTACAAAACTTTGTTTTCCAAGCTTGCCTAGTGTTGGTTAATAATAAGTTTTGCAAAAAAAAGTTTTATAAACCCAAGTATATCAAAGAAAGAAATGGTAATATAATAGTAATGTAATGATTAAATTAAAAGGTATTTATTTATTAGTGATTCTGATTTTATTCATTTAATTACATATCAAATATATAAGTTGAAAATTTTTTTTTAAGTTTCATTAATGATTATTATTATTGCAATGTTTTTATTTTTAACTATTACCACCACCATAAAATCAGCCTTATGAATGGATATATTTATGTCTAAGAAAGCTAAAGGTAATAAAGGTAATAATAATAATTAATGGGTTAAAAAGACTTACTACATTAATAAACAAATGTATTTAATACAAATCAGTAAATAATTATATTGTTTTTTTTTTGTTATATGAGTCAAATCTGAAGTATAAGAATATATAACAATAATTTAACAAACACACATAAGCATAAATCAGAGCAGAAGGTCATCCTAATAAAGTGGCATTTTCATTTCAGTCAGTTCAGTATTTTATTAATTAATCAAAATTTAAAAAAATCAAGGAATTTTAACATGAGTGGTTGATATTTTAAATTATTGACAATTTTTAAAGTCTGCATAATAACAATATGTGATTTGTGAGTATGATGAATGTTAGGACTTTGGCTTTCAAATGAGTACAAGATCATTAACTTAATCCAACAATTGTCAGAATTACAAATTTTTGGATGCAAATCAACTCAAAAGTTAAGTAGCCTATTACTATTTAAATGGAAATTGTATCATAAGAATAACAAATCTAACAGTTTTATTTTCAATGAATAGGAAAACCACTGTTACAATAAGTTATAAAATTTTCAAAAGGTAATATATAAAAATTATAAAATCATTAAATGATTTTAGAAAATTTCTTAGCAAACACATAGTGTATGTACATGTGTCACGTGCATTACATAATAAAATTTGCATCAATAAAAAAATTAACTTTTTTTTAAACTTTTTTAGAGTGAGTGTTTTGCTTGAGGGTTTGGGACACCCTGAAACACGTAACATTTCATTTTGCATCTTACATATGATTCATATGTGCATATATATAACACAAGACAAGGTTGATTTGTGAAAATGATGGGATAATCTGATATAATAAAATAAAGTGATGGTTAGAGATTGTGTGGTTGGCACTTGTTCAACTTCCCAAAAATGGGCCAAATAAGGTTGTTTGGGTCAAATGATGGGATGACCCAATGTGATTGTGAACCAATATAATGTAAAATAATGCACAACATAACACCATGTTTACACATGTAGTGTACAAATAGAAACTGCCATGATTTTATGTAAGTATATGGAAAAAAACTATTATTATAATTTCAATTGGTTTCATCTAATTCCATTTCATTTTTTTTTCCTTTCTATTAGGCCCAAGGTTAAATTACCAATAACCTTTCACCTTTTTTTTATCCCAATAATTTGGGTCAAGTTGGAGTAATGAATTTAGCACAGAATCAATCACATCTTTTGGAAGAATTTCTTGGAAAGAGACAAGGATTTCTTTTTGAGCTGGAGATGCCATGTGCATTGGTTTTGTTTTTTACATTGTATTCTTTCATAAAATAGACTATTTCATGGCCAAACAACCCATTGATTGAGTAGTTTAATAAATTACTATAAAACATATAGTGGATCAAAAAATAATGTAAATCAGTTAATAAAATAGACTATTTTGTTGCCAAATGGTGCATTGATCAAGTAAACTACCAAAATATATAGTGGATCAAAAAATAATGTAAATCAGTTAATAAAATAGACTATTTTGTTGCCAAATGGTGCATTGATCAAGTAGTCTAATAAATTACTACAAAAATGTATAAATAGAACCTGACAAAATACCAAAAATAGAAGAATTCTCTCCCGAAAGAGGAACAGTTGCTATATTTGAAGATGTATGCAATGAGCCCAAAAAAATACAAGATAGAATTATTCCCTATTTTACCGAAGGGCACCACTCTAATATTAGCTTGATATATATCACACGATCTTTCTTCAACTGTCCTGGAAAAATAAGAAAAAATTTGGATTACATTTGTTTATTTAATGGCACAGGCACATATGATGAACTTGCCTGACAATATACAAAAAAATGGCATGATGTTGTCAATATACTTGATAAAAATTTACAAGGTAGAGAATTTATTGTTATTGATTTAACTAGTGCAAAAGAAGATGCTTTATATCTTCACAAGGGATGGGACACACCCCTAAAATTAGATGAATAAACCAAGGTTTGATAATAGCAATAATTGTTTATTTTTTCATTATTTATTGACGCATTAATATAATACATCCCACCCACCACTTTTTGATAAGGTGATTGTAGTCAGTTGATTTGGAATTGGGGCAGATATTTTCAGTATCTTATTCGCTACTATTCTCAAATGAAATAGCTATCATTATCCAGCCTGATTGAAGTTGAAGTAGATGTTGAAAAAATAAATAAATTCTGTAGTTTATTTGTACTAATGGGGCTTTTTTGTGCCAGGTAAAACAGGTTGATATGAAAAAAACAAAGTAAAAAATGTTACCAGCCCTCAGAGATAACAAAATAAAGTCTAAAGTACTAGCCCTCAGGAATACCTTAGGTGATTTTATTTTAAAATAGATATATATGAATAAGTTATATAATTAATAAATCAAGTAAATAGATAAATTACATCAAATAAATAAATATATATATATATAATAATTATGCATTACTAACCTGACACATTTCTTCTCGAACTGCCCATAATAATTTATAATACTCAGCGAGTTCTTTAGCACACATACCATAAGGATGGTAGAAATACTCTAGCCATTTTCTCTGTATAATTGTACATGCCCGATTTTTCTTTGCTGTTTCTTGAATATGTTTAACTCTTTTGATAAGATTCTCTATTCGTAATTCATATCAATAAATAGCTAACCTTGTGTAAATATCATATTCAACTTCTGGTTTTTGTTTAAGCTCCATATACTCTTTGAAACTTATATCACAATGTCAATTGTAGCTCAATTGTAGCTCAATTGTAGTTCAATTGTAGTTGAATTTTCCCTATATAACTATATATATAATGATACACCCACAGTTGAATCATAGTAAAGTTACAATAAAATCATTATTAATTTGATTTTTGTATATTTTTTAACCATTGATCCCATTTCACGATGTAGACTGATAACCAATTCAATCACACACATTAATCAACGAACGTAAAAATAGGAACTCTGAATACCATGATATCCCTGGTAATACCAGAGTGGAATTTTGGAATAGTGTTGCAAAAAAAATCAATGAAAAATTTAGTACCAATTATACAGGATACCAATGCAAAGCCAAATTTCACAGTCTAGTAAAGGAATATAATGTAAGCATTTTCTTACCTATATTCCACACCAATGCATAATATGATCAAATTACTAACATCCTAATGATGAACTTCTTACTAGTCGTTATGTAGGTATATGGCTGGAAACAGATCAGGTTGAAGAACAAGAATTGCTGAGAAATATTTTAATGAATTTCATTCCCACTTTTGGGAAAGACCAGGTAGGTTTACATCCTACGTTGAAAGTAATTAGCGATTCTAGTAAGGCCAATAATATATATATCAAGCACTTTTCACAAAAAATTTCCCTACTCTATGTATTAGAAACGCAATTTGACCCAATATATAATGCAAAAACCTCCGCTTGAAGAAGAGAAGAAAGCCAACATAATCATACACCACCACCTTCATATGAAGAAGTTTCATCAATGCTAGATTGTCATGAAGTTTCTGCTAGACATAGGGGGCGTTCAATGTCACCTAGTGGGAGATCTAATAATAATAGAAGACATAGTAATGTTAATCAAGGTATTGGTGGAGCCAGCACAGCTGAAACAAATAGACAAAACCTGGAGCCTCGTGCACCAACTTACCAACTTCCACTGAAAATAATCCAGATAATGATGGCGCAAATAATGAAATTAACGCTACAGGGAATAGTGATAATATGAGTATTGTGGATTAATACTCCAAGAAATAATGTTAGCAACGATTTAGAAAAATAATAAAAAAATATGTGTCTTTGACACTAGCTCTGCTATTATATTCCTTCTTGATTAAACATAATTGCCAGTATATATGTCCACCCATTTAATTGTATTCGCATCGCCATAAAAGAAGAAGCACTATTATTTATGTCATATATATTTCAGCGTGAATTGATTTAAAGGAATTAAATTTTGATAATCCCTCTGCATAATCAATCAGATAATTGATATGTTGTACATGGGCTATGTAATGAAAATTATTTTAGAATTCCAATTATCAACATCTGCTTCACACGCTTCTTTTTTCTTGTGAAGAAATGAACACATCCAGGGCTGAAATATTCTATGATCCAAAAAAAGTAAGTTAAGTGTATATTTTGGGTGTGAATTATCGAATTATGATTGTCTTATTGGTGAGAGTGGAGGGAATCTGAACTAGCTTCCCGCTTAAATACTGAGTTATGAGACATGAAATAAATAATTCAAAAGTTTCTACCTCAAAATTTCACTATTTTTTGATTTGATAAATGGTTAAAGCTTGAAGTATAGGGGCAGTCATCGCCTTTCGAGGCAGGTCTAGGGGCCGATTGAACCCTCCCTTGCAAAGCTTTTTTATTAAGGGTGTGGTTGCCAAATTATCATTATCTTTTAGCGAGGAGAGGTAGATTCGATAAGCTACCCGCTAAATCACTAAGCTATTAGATGAGAAGTAATTTGTGTGTATTCACCTTAGCAAAATTGGCATGGGCAAAATCTATATTTCTGGTTGATGTCAACATTAATCACTTTTTTTTTTTTAGCATAAAACACAAATAGAAACACGAAAATCTACCAAAGAAAAAACCATTAATTATATTCAGTCACAATGGGTTTCTGAGGATTTCGACACCAAGGATCTCAGATCGATTAATTTATCCCAGCCTTTTATAATGATTAGTCCAAAGTCAACATTCATCGAAAAATTCTTAGAAAAAAGATGTGAAAGGCGATTTGCAAAACATCAAGTTCCTATTGATAATAACGTCTCTTCGATACCAGCTGAATACTTGAAGTTATTGGAGGTGGAGATATTCCGTGAAAGTGATGTTTTGGATTCGATTTCTCAAGATCTATGGAATGAATTTGGACATTGGGCATATTTTACAAAGGTTCCCAATTTTAGAAAAAAATTCCGGCATCACTGTCGACGTCTATGGGCTAAAACAAGGCATGCGCATGAGCAACGAATAAAAACTTGGAAGGTGCCTCTAGAAGATTATGAAATCCCAGAAATATTCCAACGGCACCCAAAGGACAAACTTGTTATTGCAGATGAAACAACTAACAAAGTTATAAATAATATCCACCTCAATGGCTACCAATATATTTCTAAATCATGTTGCATTAAAAATACTTTTGGCGAAACGATGGTTGACTTCTTTGATCTCAACAATTTAGAATCTGCAAAAATTGCACAGATGGTAGTGGATAAATATTATGATCACACTCGTAAACACATCAGTCATCAAAGTATCCATTTTATCAATAACCTGGCAGAACAATTCGGTTGTCTGACAGATAGCAACATTGAGCCTTATGTTACGACGAGCACCGCTTCTAATCATTCTCAAGAGCATCGGGATTGTGTTAGAGAATTAATACAAGGACTTCAACCATTATCAGATGTGGTTAATAATTATATTGATGCCACCTATCCAGCGTTATATACCAAAATGAAAAAACTTGATCTAGGTTCCAACGTCCCTAAATGTTTTGGTGCCTTCCCAACTGTCGGTATTAACTTTAACTCTATCAGCCAGTTCCATCGGGATCTGAAAGATCATAGTAATACACTTTGTGTTGTTTGTCCTTTGGGGGTATTCAAAGGTGGACAACTGGCATTTCCCGAGTTAAAATTGGCAATTGATGCTAAACAAGGACAGGCAATAGCTTTTCGATCACATCTTTTAATTCATGGGAATTTTCCAATAACAGTTGGGTCGAGGCATAGTGTTGTCTTCTATATTCATGGCACAGTTATAAAACAAAACCGGAAATTCAGTTCTCTTTTTGATAACAAGGATTTAGATGTGTCAGAGATTCTAGGCTCTACTTATAAAGAGCACAAGAAACTGCCAAAATATTCTCCTCCTAGTTTAAGCTCTCGAAAATTTATAACGAAATTAAGAAACCATAGGCGAAGTCATCTCGGTAAGTGTCTATTATAGGTGAACAAGGTTATTTTGTGTTTATAGATTAATACAGTATATATTGTTTATTTATCCCTCAATTCATAGATTTGGAACCCGCAAGAAGAGGCTTACCAGCGCAGTATAGGAAATAATGTTTTTATGATAAAGAGCTGGTTATAAATGCTCATCTCGATAAATTCTGAAAATTTCATATACATAATCGCATTTACTCTTTGCATATGTTATTTTGGGATTTTATTTCAATGTACAATCAAAAAATTTTCTTGGTAAAAGTGATCAGTGTTCCGTTTTGGAATGCACACATAATTTTTATTAATTTGAAATTTCGAATAAATATGTATCTTATATAAAAATTATTATCAAACATGTCATTGGAGCTTGAATTATTGAGACAACAAGTTACCAAGCTTGAGGCTGAAAATACCAAATTAAAACAGATCATGGAAGAAATAGCTAATCTTAGGATCGAAAATACAAGACTAAAACAAATCATAAAGCAAAATCGAACACCATTTGCCATTATTTTTCTTTCTTGCTATTATTGTTTTTAAACCTAAAGCTGTTAATGCTCTTGAGACTTGATTTTTATTGAGAGGATTATCAGTATTATTTGCATAATTATCATAGAACTTCAAAAAGTTTTCATTTATACCAAAATATTTGTCTTTCAAAAATTTATATAATTGTATTTCTTTAATAGAACTAGGTGAATTGTTGATAAACTCTAATAACCATAATTTGATATATTCAATATCATTTGATTGATTATGACCTTCAATCATTTTTTCAAAAATTTCTATGACGTTAAGTGAAAGGATCTTATTATACCGAGATTCAATAAAATGTGAAAAATATTTCTTAAATTCAATGAGCTGTTCAAAGTCCTTAATTCCATTCACATGAAGGCATAAATTATTTGCAGTATATCCTACAGGTTTTGCAATTATGTGCCCACAGGTACCACATGTTCTTTTTCTATTTGACATTTTGATTTTGTACTATTATCTCAAAGAGAAAAAATTATTAATATAAAACAAAAATAAAAAAATGAGCATTACTAAACAAGAATCAATTTCTGATCGCGTTTTATCTGCACTTACTATTATCAAGAAAATTTCCATCTTTTCATCTATATCACAGAATTAGACTTTTGTTAAATTTATTAAATTTATTATTATCATGTAATGACTCTTTAATCACTAAAATAAATAAAAAACAAACAAATAGAAATTTTTCTCAACAAATGGATGATAATGTAGAGTATTCCTTAACCCTCATGTTTGAATGCAACATAAAAAGTAAAACCAATGCATGTTTTTTTTTGTGATTTTTTGGTCTACAAGTGGATGGCGGGTTTGTTTATATGTTTTGTAGTAATTTATTAGACTACTCGATCAATGGATCATTTGCCATGAAGCAGTCTATTTTATTAAAGAATACAACGTAAAAAGCAAAACCAATGTATTTTTTTTTTGTGATTTTTTGGTCTACAAGTGGATAGCGGGTTTGTTTGTTTATATGTTTTGTAGCAATTTATTAGACTACTCAATCAATGGATCATTTACCACGAAGTAGTCTATTTTATTAAAGAATACAACATAAAAAGTAAAACCAATGTATTTTTTTTTTGTGATTTTTTAGTTGGATGGCAGGTTTGTTTATATTTTTTGTAGCAATTTATTAGACTACTCAATCAATGGATCATTTGCCACGAATTAGTCTATTTTATTAAAGAATACAACGTAAAAAGTAAAACCATTGTATTTTTTTTTGTAATTTTTTAGTTGGATGGCGGGATTGTTTAATAGTAATTTATTAAACTACTAAATCAATGGATCATTTGCCATGAATTAGTCTATTTTATTAAAGAATACAACGTAAAAAGTAAAACCATTGTATTTTTTTTTTGTGATTTTTTAGTTGGATGGCAGGTTTGTTTATATGTTTTGTAGTGATTTATTAGACTACTCAATCAATGGATCATTTGCCACGAATTAGTCTATTTTATTAAAGAATACAACGTAAAAAGTA